TTAAAGGAGTACTGATTGGAAATGAAGAGGTCACATTATCCCTTTTTGCAGATGATATGATATTAAACCTGAGAGCCCCAAAATACACAAGAAAACTCCTTGAACTGATCGACACTTTCAATAAAGTGGCAGGTTACAAAATTAATCTACAAAAATCAGTAGCCTTCTATATACCAATAACAAACAATTGGAGAAAGAGTACAGGGAAACCCTCCCATTCACAATAGACACAGACACACAGACACACACACACACAGACACACACACACACACCCACACACATACAACTTGGAACAAACCTGACCAAAGGCATCAAAGATCTCTACTACAAATTTTAAATCTTTAAAGAGATTGAGGAAGACACCAGAAGATGAAAGGACTGCCCATGCCCATGGACTAGAAGAATTAATATTGTGAAAATGATCATTCTACCAAAAAAAATTTAGATTCAATGCAATCCCAATCAAAATCCCTATGACATACTTCACAGAATTAGAAAAAAAACATCCTTAAATTCATATGGAAGCACAAAAGATCCCAGATAGTCAAAGCAACACAGAGCACAAAGAGCAATGCTGGGGGGATTACTATACTAGATCTCAAAGTATACTACAGAGCTATAGTCATAAAAACGGCATGGTACTGGCACAAAAATAGACAGATAACTGGAATGTCATTAAAGACTCAAACCTCAGTACATGCAATTTCAGCCACCTGATATTTGACAGAGGTGCCAAGAACACACACTGGATGAAAGACAGCATGTTTAGCAAATGCTGCTGGCAAAACTGGATTGCTGGCAAAACTGGATCTCCATCTGTAGAAGAATGAAATTAGATCCTTATCTTTCACCTTGCACATGTCAACTCCAAATGGATCAAAGACCTCAATATGAAACTCAAAACTCTGAAACTATTAGAAGAAAACATTGGTGGTAACCTACAGGATATAGGTGTAGGAAAGGACTTTCTAAATCAGACACCAGTTGCTCAGGAATTAAGGTCAACAATCAACAAGCAGGATCTCATTAACTAAAACGGTTTTGTACAGCAAAAGAAAACAATCAAGAAAGTGAAGAGAAAACCCAGAATGGAAAAGAATCTTTACCAGTGACACATCTGACAGAGGTTTAACATTCAGAATATATAAAGAACTAAAAAAAGAAAATAAAGAACCAAGAAAGCAAATGACCCAATTAAAAGATGGGCTAAAGATCTAAACAGTTCTCAAAGGAAAAAATGAAGATGGCTGGCTAAGAAACATCTTTAAAGTGCTTAACATTGTTAGTAATTAAGGAAATGCAAATTAAAACCTTCTTAAGATTTCACCTTACTCCAGTCAGACTGGCAAAGATCAAGAGAACAAATGATTCCAAATGCTGGTGAGGATGTGGAGAAAGGGGAACATTCATCTATTGCTGGTGGGATTGCAAACTAGTTCAACCCCTAAGGATAGCAGTGTGGAGAACTCTTAAAAAACTAAAAACGAACCTACCATATGACCCAGTTATACCACTCCTTGGCATATACCCAAAAGGACTCATCCTATTGTAGAGACACTTGTACAACCATGTTTGTTGCTGTTCTTTTCACAAGAGCTAAGAGATGGAAGCAACCTAAGTGCCCCTCACCTGACGAGTTAACAAAAATGGTTAACGAAAATGTGGTACATTTACACAATGGAGTTCTGAGCAGTAAAGAATGAAATTTGCAGGTAAATGGATGGACCTAGAAACTGTTATACTAAATGAAGAACAGAGATTCAGAAAAACAAATGGTGTATGTTCTCCCTCATCTGTGGATCCGGGCACCAAATCTTTATAATAGATGGAGTCCCACTGAAATGGGCCAATGGCCCATTTTGCACAGCTGTATGCAAGTCACAGGATATATAATTGAGTGTGGACTTTCCAGTGCATCTGGGTAAATAGGGGGGGCATCTACTTTTCTGTAAATAAATCCCTACCCTATGCTCTGTTAGCAAGCCCAATAAACAGCTTAGGATTCCACCAAAGTTGACCCCATGTTGGCAAATCCTTTGGTCTTTGATTTTTTTTTTCTTATTTTTCCTGCCTTAAACTTCACTGTATATATTAGCCCCCCCCTTAAACTTCATTGTATATATTAGCCCCCCCTTAAACTTCATTGTATATATTAGCCCCCCCCTTAAACTTCATTGTATATATATTTATGTAACCTGCTTCAAGTTAATAGCCATTTCTATTAGATGGTCAGCAGGAAGGCGCCAGGAGTCAGCCCACAGGCAAAGAAAAATGTGTTAAAAATTGCCCCCTTTGGAATAAAAAATAAGAGGTAATTTTAAAAAGTGACATAAAAAAAGACATATTTGGTGCCCTAAATTTTGTTTCTGAATCTGCCTAGAGCCCAGTCTGACAAACCTACTCTAAGTCGGCTCCAGCTCTTGTCTCCTCCCTCTTGTGTCATCAATTTCTCTCCTCTTTACCCATTGATTTGTATCCTAACACAAACATAACATCTTGCAAAACCAGGCTCCCTTTGAACCACTGTTCTCTGCTCCTCTGTAAAGCCAAATTCCTGGAAAGTGTCTGAGTCTACTTTTCATCTATGGACTCTCTCTATCCCGACTCCTGGCACCTTCCTGCTCACCATTTACAGAAAAGGCTATTGTCATGGTCAATGACAGCACTGTTATATACCATTTACATCTCATCTGGACTTCCAGCAGCAGTGACCCAGGTGGTCACTCCTTGGAAGACCCCTTTGTCACTCAGCTTCTGGAACATAGCTCGTTCTCCTTGCACTGGCTACAGGTGCCCTATAGCTCCCCTGCTGGCTAACCTTTCTCCCCTGAACCCAGAAACCCTGGACCACTCAGATACAACCTTGAACCCATCTCTCCTCACCACTTGTACTCATTTCTCATCATGACACTTATTCACCTTGTTCATGAGTTCATCCAGTGCTAGAGCTTTAAATACCAATTCCATGTTGACAACTGCCAAATTTCTATCTTTAGAGCTTCTTCCTTTGAATACTAGACACTCATATCCAACTCCCTATTGTGAATTTCTGATTTGGTGATCAGAAATCTCAACCCTATGTAAAACAATGTAAGATCAGATCACTCACGTGCCCCTTCCTAAAAACAAGCCCTGTCCACTCCATCCCTTTAAGTCTTCCTCATCCCAATAAATAAGTCCTCTGATCTTACAGCTGTCTGAACAAAAACCCCAAATCATCACTGACTTGTTATCTCCCACATACAGTATTCTAGACAATTCTTTAGACTATATCGAGTCTCTCTCTGTGCTCTCATTTTAGGTTCTTTTTTCCAAGAGTCATTTTCTTAACAAGGCCTTCCTTAATCACTGAATTTTTAAATTAAAATCCCATCCAGCCTCCTAAAATCCCATCCTGACTACCTTTAACTTGTCATATCACTAACATACAGTAGATTCACTTGTTTGCTCCCTGTCTCAACTGAAGTAGATGCTTCAAGATGGCAGCCCCTTAGTCCCATCCCAGCTTCTAATGATGAACAGAAGACAGGTGCTCAATGCTTATGAATGAAGAATGGTGTCAAAACAGTGACTCACTTGGGGGAGGAGAAATAACTGAGCAAAAATAAATGATGTGAAAGAACAAGTTAGTTAGTTAGCAAGGTGCAGTCCAGGCAGTGAGCAGCTCAGTGCAAAGCCCAAAAGCACAAATGGCAGGCCTATGAAGGAGGACTAGTGAGTCTGTGCGACAAAACAACAGACTACGTCAGAAGCCATCAGAAAGATAGATGGTCTGCCCCTGGATTATGCATGATACAGTATAAGAAATTTAGAGGTCATTCCAACCATCATGGGGGGGGGCATCATAGGTCCTAAGAGAGAACCAAACTTGATTAAAAAACATTTTAAAATATGGTCTCAGCTGCTAGTGACTAGTGGGAGGTAGAGAACATGGACCGTGCATCACTGCAGGACATGGTAAAGAGATTGCATGGGATTTGAACACAGTCAATAGAATGGGAACTGGTCTAAAAATTGACAGCAGAGGGGCTGGAGATGACTCAGTGAACACTGCTTTTGCAGAGGACCTGGGTTCGGTTCCCAGCACCCACGTGGCAGCTGACAACCATCCATAGCTCCAGTCCAGGAGCTCCAAACGCCCTCTTCTGACCCCCATGGGCATTACAAGGCACACGAGTGCACTTACACACATGCAGGCACTACACTCACACACAAAATAAAAAGGATAAAGTATCTTTTAAAAACTTATAAGCAGAAAGAACAGGCTCCAGCTTATGGTTTCCATAGGGGCAACACAAAGAATCGAGAGAATTCAAACAAAATGTCTGCTCTGAAACTGGACTCCATTCGGGCAAACGTAACTAATCCGATTTCCACCAAATCCTTCGGGCAGCTAGTGGTTGAGCTGGAAGGAGAGCATTTCGGGGGAGAAGACTTTGGGAGCACCGAGTTTTGAAAAAGTGGAGTGTAAAGGGGGTGATGTGGAACTCTGCCGGGAGGGTACGCACTGTGCAAACGCTGGGAAGGGGGGACATAGAACGAGAGAACTGGCCTGAGAGCCACAGCCATTACAACCATTGATGCCCCGGCGGGGCCGACACAACGCGCTGGGGTCCTCACAAGCAGGTCAGACGGGGGAGCCGTCTTCCGGAGGGGTCCCTGGGACACGAGCGAGGAGTGCCGGTCCGTTCACTCTCCGCCACCTCCCGCCCGGGCCCATAGCCCGGGACTCCGCATCGTCCCCAGAGCGGGCGGTGGAGACCTGGCGCTCGCAGGCCCTCTAGCGTCCATCCGTCCGTTCCTCGCGGAAACCACGCTCGCGCCCGCCGCCCCCGAGCACCACCCCGCCCCGCCGGCGCTGCTCCTACCGCGGGGCGACCCCACGCGGCCCCGCCCAGCCCGGCCCGACCCGACCCCCGCAGGGAGACGCCGCCGCCGCCCCGCCTCCCCGGCCCGCGCGCGCCAAGCCGCAGCGCGCCGCCCTGATTGGCCGCCGCCTTCCCGCTCTCCTTCCCGAACCGCCATTTTGAAAATCTTGTTGATTCTGAGGAGCCGAGCGCGCCGCGCAAGAGTCACACCGGCCCGGGGCCCGCGAGCCTTCTCAGCGGCGGCCTCCCCGTGAGCTCGCGTGTCAGGCCCGTGGCGGTCAGGACCCGCGGTGAGGATGGAGTCGGGAAGGCGCGGTTGGCCGCTGGGTGGCGGAGGACAGGGAGGGACGCGGCAGTTCGGACCGCGGCCGGGCGCGGGGGAGGGGACTCGGAGTGGCCGCGGCTCTGCTGGGCTCGGCCCGGCCCGGCTCGGCTAAACTCGGTTGGGCTCGGCTGGGCTCGGCCAGACCCTGCCCGAGACGGCTCAGGAGGAGCGCGCGCGCGCGTGCGCACGGGCGGCGGGAGGGCGGTGCGGTTTCCCGCCTCGGGCATTCCCGGGGGAGCTCGGCTGGCGGTTCGGCTGCCCCTCGGCTGTGCTCGGGTCCCGCCCGCGCGAGCTTAGTCCAGGACGCGTGCGGCTTCCTTCGGGCCGCAGGTTTCCAGCATGTCGTCCGCGGCGCCTGCTGCGGAGGGCGACGACGCCCCTGCCCAGCCAGTGTCAGAGAAGGAACCCGAGATGCCGGGCGCCAGGGACGAGAGTGAGGACGACGACGACGACGAGGACGACGAGGAGGAGAAAGGTGGGAGGACCGCACATCCCTCCCCAAGGGTTTTCAGGCAAAGTTTTCCGTCCCCCGGGAAGCAGTGATCTTGCTGGCGGGCTCCGCGAGTAATGGAGCTGGCGTGATTGTTTGCAGAAATGCACAGGAAAGCCACGTTTTCACGTTGCAGGAGCAGAGCATCAGATGCTCTTTTTTAAAGCATTTGTCAGGTTTTGAGTTCGCGCCCTCTGCATTGAGAGCGCGTCGTCATCCCTCGGGAAGTTTCCAAGCCTCTAAACCAGCTGCAGTGTTGCTGAGCGAAGGTTTGAATTCGCCAGAGCCTTTGCCTTTTGAGGCTGCCCCGAGGTTCTCCCTGCACCTTGACTCTGACGGTGTTCGTGCTAATCCTGGAAGCGTTTGAATAGTTGACATTTTGTATTTGCTGGGTTTCAGAGCAAATGGCAGCGTTTTCTTTCCCTAGGAGAAACATCGCAGAAAGTAGTTAAAAATGAAAGGGAGGGAAAGTGTTATTGAACCCACAGCTGTCTCGGTTTGGGAGCTAATTCTAGTGTACAGGAAGCGGGTATAACCATGATTTGACTAGAGGCTGAACCGTGACCATTGCAGAGTGGGACTGTATCAGTGAAACCTTTTAAGCTATTCGAAAATCCTAGGCACAGAACAAATGTTACTAACCCGATCTAGCTATGTTCTGCATATGGCTACTAGAGCCAGCCAGACTTGGGAGCAGGTTGAAGTGCTTCTCCCAAACTGTCATTTCTTTAAGTCTAAGTCAGCATTTTATAAATATAATCTGGGTTAAGACGATAAAGTATACACACCATTTATTTAAAGTGCTGTGTTCCCAAAGATTGTCTTTAGGGAGAGTGTCATTTTAAGTACAGTCCTGGCTTTAATTATAAATTTTACTATCACTGTAAGTTATTTTTAAGTTACTTATAATACAATAATTGAAAGTTGGCTACGATTCAGTGTTAGCTAAGACTTTCTTGGGCTTTTCCTTTTGTTATTTTCTAGGAAGACTTTTCTCAGTCTTCCTAGTTGGGCAAGGTTGATGTACCAGAGGTGGCCAGTTTTCTCGCAGAGAGATTTGAGCAGTTATGTAAATGTACTGTAAAAGGCCCAAACAGTAATGCTTGAGAAGCTGACAGTAATTCAGAAAACTTAACATTTTTGTCTACCTGCCTAAATCATGATTCCCTAATATTTCCAGAACTCTTATTCATTAATTTTTTCTCTTGAGGTGTTTGCAGAATGACTAGAATTGAAAGAGCTTTTATCCCATTTAACCCAGCATATTTATTTTAAATAGTGTCACATGGAAGGAAGGCAGTGGAATTAATGAAGTCTGTGTCAAATAAGGCATCAAGTTGGAGGGATTGGCAGTAACTTGGAGATGAGAGATGCCTCTGGTTTGGAAAGACTTAGCTTACAGTTTTTGGGTGTTGGGTGAGTGGTGTTAACTATTTTCAAGGGAAAAAGCTGGAGGTGAGCAAGTTTGAAGATGAGGATGCAGTTGTTTGGATATATTAGGTTAGATGCATGGCCATACGTGTCCATACATGGAGCTGTCCAGGCAACAGCCAGGCATGTGTTCCTTTGAATCTCTGAAGAAAGCTCTGCCTGGAGTTAGACTGGGGAGTTCTTTGTCTGTAGATGAAGATCCAAAGCAAGTGAATGACCTGAATTATGAGGGAGAGGAAAGTGAGTGAATTAGCTGTCATGACATGCCTGGTGCCATCTTGTCCCCGATTCTCTATGTGCAGCTTCTTCCATCCCTAAATGAACATTCCTTAAGCCTTCGCCCATGCTTTAATCCTTTTCCCCAGCCCCCAAGCAGCCTCTCTTCAACTCACAAAACTTTTGAAATGTATTTATTATGTGTGGTGGGGGTGGTGCTTGTGGGGGGTCAGAGACAACTTGAGGGAGTCACTTCTACCATGTGGGTTCTGGGGATGAAACTCACTTCCCAGGCTTGGTGGTAAGTACTTTTATGTGCTGAGCCACCTTGCCAGCCCACAAAACTGTTATTTGTATTTTTCTCCTTTCATTTTTGAACCCAGGAACTTGAGGTTTTAGACAGGCATTCTATCACTGAACTGAACCCTTATTTATATGTTTCTTAAAGTATTCTGTCATCTTCTACATTGAGTGTAATTCTCATTTTCCTACTAGAAAGTTCAAAAAATGCCCAGTGTCAACCTACTTATCCTTTAAGTATCAAGTACATCTTTGGGCAAGGTAGGCATTCATTTGAATGAATGAAAGGCTCTCCAACAACAGACTTTGTTGTTTCACTATTTCAATCAACAGATGGTTTTAGGGAACTCCCACATAATGTTTTAAATATATGCCACATGTTTCCTGGCTATTTTTTATTTTATTTTTTGCCAATCTGGACTAAGTAGTATCTACCTTTCTCAGAGTCACTTATACCTATCATGTACATTATTTATCAGATCACAAAGTAATGCCCACTCAGCTATCTGATATAAGAAGTACTAAAATAGATAGGAGGAATAAGCTGTAGTGTAAAGCACAATAAGATGATTAGGGTTTATAGTACTCATATTTTCTATGAGCTGGAAGAGTTCAGGGGCCCCCAGCCAGGTAGTGCTAATGAGATTAGAACACTATCTTAAGTTGATCATTGCATACTATGTACATGTATTTGATTATCATACTGTAAATACATGCTCTTATGTACCAAAAAGAAATGAGATTAGTGTGAAACTAGATTTTTCACAAATAAAATGACTAGACTTTAATAGGAATAATTGGATAAAAGGTTTGTTTTGTTTTAAAACAGGGTCTTACTATGTAGGCCTAGGCTGGCCTGGAACTCTCCATGTAAACCAGGTTTGCCTCAAATTCACAGAGATCCTCTTGAATGCTGGGACTAAATGGGTGTACCACTTACAAATGGCAAAAGTTTGTTTTCTTTTGTTTTTAAACTAGATTCTTGACAGACTTAAGTAAGAACTTAACTCTTTTTAAAAAGAAAAGGAAAAACGCTGCCGTGGGTTATCATGGTGCTTCATGCTTTATGCCATTTCTTTTTCTCAAAACATACATAAGGAAAGTAAGGTGTTTGGTTTGGGAGATCTTTTTATATATATAAGTAAATACTTATATTTAGCTTTCTGTTATTAAAAAGATTAAATTAATTTCTAGAAAAGAGTCTCATCGTGGAAGGCAAGAGAGAAAAGAAAAAAGTAGAAAGGTTGACAATGCAAGTGTCTTCCTTACAAAGAGAACCGTTTACAATTGCACAAGGTAAGTTTATTCTCTATTTCATTTTATGGTGGAAAGGCCCAAATAGGCACAAGTGGTTGCTAGCACTGTTAGTCCCAGCAGCATGTTTTGTGTTTAGGAAGTAGTAACATACTTTTGGCATGACTTTAATTTTCCCTATTAGCACAAGGTTATACAAATTATGCTATAGGAATAATTTTCATTAAATTATTGTAAGTTTATATTAATAAGCCCTACGTGTTTAATTATGTTTTGTTTTTGTTTTTCCAGGAAAGGGTCAGAAACTTTGTGAAATTGAAAGGATACATTTCTTTCTGAGTAAGAAAAAAACAGATGAACTTAGAAATCTACACAAACTGCTTTACAACAGACCAGGCACAGTAAGACCTTTTAGCAGTGTCTTTAAAATGTTTTTTCACACTTACACATTAAGTTGCTTCACAGTAGAACCACCGTTTTAATTCTGTAAGATCTTTATAATGAACTAGTTCAATTTCTGTACTCTAGTGAGTAAATTGGGTATGTCCTTGTTAATGACATATAGTTCACCTAGTGGACATTAACGGTCAGCCCTGGATAATATCTGGGGCTCTCTGTATTGCAGCTTATCTACCCTGAGGTCCCGAGTTGGCTCTCCAACAGCACCACTTGCCAAGGAAAAAGGAAATATTTGCTAAAAACTTGAATTATATAATACAAATTGTTGGGATTTTAGTGTTTTTTAAAATATTTTATTTATTATTTTTATTTTATGTGCATGTGTGTATTGCCTGCATGTAGGTAAGTGCACCCGTGTCGTGCAATGCCCTTGGAGGTGCGAAGAGGCTGTCAGAGCCCCTGGAACTGGAGTTACGGACAGTTGTTGGCTGCCATGTGGGTGCTGGTATTTGAACCCGGTCTTCTGCAAGAACAACTGGTGTTCTTAACCGCTGAGCCATCTTTCCAGCTCTGTGTTGTTTTTGTTTTTTTTTTTTTTAAGCTTTATATTAGAAGGAATTTATTTTTGGATGTTCTGACCATTCACAATAAATGGTTATTTTTAAATTGTATTTCATTTTAGTCAAATGCCTAATAAAAGGGGGTAGCAGTTCCTTGCCAAAGAATTTGTTATATTGTACATAGAACTTGCATTTCAAACAATTGGGGAAACTTTCACTTTGGGTTATACGTGAGCAAAGTCAAGTTAGACACTAGTAAGGATGCCTGAGGTATGGGACACTTTGTGTTGGGTGTGCTAATCTCAGCTTATATAACAGTCTAATTTACACACATCTCATAACTAGTAAGTGGTACCGGCTTCTTGGAATGCTGTTCATTTCAAAGAATAAAGTCATTGACTGAATGTACCTTTCTATATCTGGTACCTCAGATAACAGTTATGGTAAATATTCCCATGTTGAAATATATTCAAATTCAAAATGTTTTTGAAGAATTAAGTTCCAGGGGATCTGACACCCTCTCCTGGCCTTCACAAGCATGGCATGCATGTGGTGTGCTTAGATGCAGACAGAACACTCACTCATACACATAAAATAAAAATAAGTAAAATGTTAAAAGAAGATGTTAGCTTTGTTTTGTTTTGTTTTTTTCTTGTTCACGTTACTGGATAGTAACATTAATAAGAGAAATATTTTCAGGTGTCCTCATTAAAGAAGAATGTGGGTCAGTTCAGTGGCTTTCCATTTGAGAAAGGAAGTATCCAGTATAAAAAGAAGGAAGAAATGTTGAAAAAGTAAGTTGTTTTATATATATTGATTGATGTGCTGTAAGCTTACCTTTACTACTTAAAAGCTACTGTCTGCTCATCTGTAGATTGATAATTGTCTTTGGTGCCAAGGTTTGACATGTCTTTCATCCATCAGTTAATGCAGCAAAGAATCTTTCCTCTTCCTAGTTCCTGCTGGTCACTGTTCCTTAAATATTTAAAAGTTACTTTGCAAAGGTCTGTTTGATGGAGAACGTGTCCTTCACCATAATGCAAGTAAAGTGATATGCTCTTAGAACTTCTGTTTATTAAATGCCTATCATTAATTTGAATAATAAAAGTGATCAGTTCTTCATTGAGACCTTGTCATGGTCTGAACACTGAGGGAGTGTAAGAATACTGAATCACTGAATACTGAATGACAAGCCCATGAGTTCTGTAGTAGTAAACCCTTAATTTTGTAGTGAGTTATTGAAACTTGGTAAGTGCATTCTTCATTCCCTAATGATTGTTGTACACTACAGTCAGATTTCTTGAGAAAAACTGCTTGTAACCGAGCCAGTCTTTCTGGCGCTTCCCTTTGTATTGTAGGGAATATTTACAAACTGCTCTATAATCACCTTTTTTCCCATTTTCTCTTTCAGGTTTAGAAATGCCATGTTAAAGAGCATCTGTGAGGTTCTCGATCTGGAGCGCTCAGGGGTAAATAGCGAACTAGTGAAGAGGATCTTGAATTTCTTAATGCATCCAAAGCCTTCTGGAAAAGTGAGGATCTGCTTTTACTGTTTCAGTAAATTCGTTACTAGTAGCCTTCCTTGCTTTCTCTTTTCACGAAGACAGTCATTTTAGCTAGTTTTGTGGTTGATGTGTAGTAATATCTACAGTCTAAACACATGGCTTCTATTAACATAACCTCACCGTTTTCATAATATAAATAAAGCAGCATAAAGATAGGTTCCCTCAAACCAAATATGAGTAGTATAAGTTAAGAACAGTAAATGTCAGTTAAGATAAAATATAAATGAGGGCTCTGGGGTTTTCTGTTCAGAAGGTGTTGGAAGAGAGGAACTAGGTTGAGGTGAGGTGTTGGAGCAGGAAGGAGTATACAGTTGTAGGGGCAATAAAGACCGTGAAGGGCATATTACATGCAATTGAATTTTTTCTTTTATTTATTACTTTTATGTGTATGAGTGTATTGCCTGCATGCACATAAGTGCATACATGTCAGGCAGTACCCGTGGAGGTCAGAAAAGGGCGTCTGATCCCCTGAAACTGGAGTTACGGACAGTTGTTAGCTGCCATGTGGGTGCTGGGACTCAAACCAGGTCCTCTGCAAGAGCAGCCAGTGCTCTAAACCGCTGAGCCATCTCTCCAGCCCCAACAATTGGATATTTTCTAAGTCCTGGATTAAAGTTATAGAGTGACATTAAAAAGCTGGTTCTTCCTAGGCATGCTAACATTCAGGAAGCAGAGGCAGGATCATGAGTTTGCAGCCAGCCTGGTCTACATAGTGAGGTCATGTCTCAAAGAAAAACAGTGGAGGGGAGGGCTATTGATGTAGCTCACTTGGTAGATTACTTGCCCACCATGTATAAGGCCATAGGTTCAATCACTAGCACCCCATAATAATTTTTAAAGTATTATGTAAGTACAACCTTAGTCGTTGGTTTTTTTACTTTCTTACTGTACTACCTTGATTATCTTGTTAAATCAGAGTTTGTTTCAAAAAGCATTAATGCTGTTAGAGCCTGATTAATGGGTGTCAGTGTGAGAAGGGGCTCAGGAAGGCGCAGAGCATTTGTATGCTGATATTTTGCTTTTGCTTTCAAACATTTTTCATTTATTTTGAAGAGTTGCATTTTCTTGGCTGGTTCTTTGAATAATGTGACATTTATTGCAGATTGATTCGGCATCTATTCTAGTCCCAGTCTTACTAATTCCATATACAGATTACGTCCTATGTGCATCCTGTCCTTCAGCTGAGATAGTAAAGTTTCACATTTCCCTGAGACATTTGAGATCTGGAGTTCTCCAGTGCATGTGTGGAGTACGGACAGCTAAGACTCGCCTTCTCTGAAGGACAATCAAATTTATCTATGGGGATAGTTGGTGATGATAATAGTTCAAAAGCAAAGGTAGCTATGTATTCAGGGAAGTGTCTTTGACCGCTAGGCCTCTTAAAGTTTCTGGAGTAGCCTGAATTGGGTGTTTCCCAGATTGCCTTGAGAAGGAAGGATGGACTGTGGTCTGCTTTGTCAATGCCTAAGAACAGAGTATTTTGTGAAGTTTTGTGTAGGTTAGCAGACTCCTAAAGATGTTCTTGGTGGTGAAGGACCTGCGGCCCTTCTATGCTCATGAGAAGTGTTGCATAGAATTATCACAGATGTAAATACAGTTGAATGTGTGCTGTTACCCAAAATGCTGAGATCAGAATGATTTGGATATTGCACTGGGTTATTTTCATGTACATAAGGATATTTTGAGGGTGGAACCCAAGTTGAAGCATGAAATTCCTTTAGTTTTCACACGCACCTATTATACACAGCCTGGCAGTAGTCTCCTATATTAGTGTGCCTGCATTTTGACTGGCTCGCATTATATGAAGTCAGGTGCAGTTTTTCTCTCATATCAGCCATGAGAACTTTTAGGGTTGTGGGCAGTTGGCTTCTGATCAGGATTCTCAACTCGTATTTTGTAGGTTTTTTTTTTAATGTTTCTGCTTATTGCAAAAAATAAAGCAACAGCTAATATAAAAGTCATCTCAGAAGCAAATACTACCAATTCATTAGTTTATATATTTTCAGATGGTTTGGATAAGACTATTACATAGTTTTTAAATTTCAGAATTTAGTAAATATTCTCTAAGCAAGCATTTAAAAATAAATCCGTCGGTTGAGCAAGTCATTTCCCTCATGTGATTTGCTTTAGAAATACAGTGTAATTGAAGTCAGAGCAGTAGCAGTGTGCCTGTTTCGTGCTTCTTACTGGTTTCATAATTAACGTACCCAGCATTTATTGCATATTCAGACAGGTCAGTGAGAATATGATCTTAACTTTATTGAAAGTAGAACCCAGGGGTGATAAAATTGATTTATAAGTTTAGGATGTGTAATTGCTAAGCAAGTTTTATTTTCTTTCTGGGTAGTTCCTCTCCTTTGATTCATGGGACCTGTAATGCAACGTTATTTTAGTGCTTATAGAAATGAAATCAATTAAGACTAACTTCAAATATTGTCCTGATAAAGAGTAAACAGTACCTGAGGTCCCGTTTCAGAACCTAGAGTAAATTTGCAAATGGTTTTACCACATATTTATGGCAGAATTTTAGTTAGCCTGACACAGTTAAAGATGAGTTCTCCACTAAACTTGTAAATTATTAATTAATTGTAAATTAACTAATTTTTAAATGTTGTGTGTTAAAAATGTTTTGCCTGCATGTGTGTAAATGCACCTGTTAATATGATGCCTGTGGAGGTCAGAAGAGGGCATCGGATCTGCTAGAACTGGAATTATAGACAGTTGTTAGCTGCCATGTTGGTTGCTGGGAACCAAACCGAGGTCCTCTGCAAGAGCAGCCAGTGCTCATGACCACTGAGCCATCTCTGCAGCCCCGTAAATGCTTTCTGGCAGAAGTTTGAGAATTATGAGAAAGACTTGATTGACTTAGAAATATAACCTTATTGATGTTAATTGTTACAAATTTTTTATACAGCCATTGCCAAAATCTAAAAAGACTTCAAGCAAAGGCAATAAAAAGGAACGGAACAGCTCTGGAACGGCAAGGAGGTCAAAGCAAACCAAATGTCCTGAGATTCTGTCCGATGAGTCTAGTAGTGATGAAGATGAGAAGAGAAACAAGGAAGAATCTTCAGACGATGAGGACAAAGAAAGTGAAGAGGAGGTAAAATGCTCTTTTCAGACAGTTGTTTTCTATCCAGACAGCTAAATATTCTTGCTGTATAATAAGCCTAGTCAGCCAAAGGTTCCAGATTGGTTCTTTTAAATTGTGATGATGCAGGAAGAATTAAGAGTAGACTTATCTGTTAGTAAGAAGCATTGCATTTTAAGCATTCCCTACCCGAGTGTAAGTTAGAGAACCAGTGGAGTTGCTGTGGCCTGGATTTGAAGTGAACCTTGAGCCAGATCTCACCATGTGAGTAAGGAAATGGGCAAGGAAGCAATGGAGGTCCACAGTCTGAGCAGAAGCACAAAGGAGCCAGTTCTTAAAGGATGTTTTGTTGCATATTAGTATTTTGTAATTGACTTGAACTAACTTTAGCTTGGTGAACAAGGATGACAGACCATCATTTCCCCCCAGCCTTGTGGTGGTGGTTTAATGGGAGCAGCAGAGTTTGAAGTCTGTTGATCAGTGGGTGGGTTTATATCACTTAGGAATGGACATTTTCTATTTGGTAGTATTTGTAAAATGCTTTCATAGTGAGCATTGCAAAGGAGAACTCTTACTAAGGGATTTAACTTTTGATGTGTATCTTCGGTCAGGAAGATCAGGGAAAGGAGGTACAGAAGGTGAGTTCCTCTGCTCTTAATGATGTTTTAGGAGGACATATTTTATTTTTTGAGTCTTCAGGGTTAGAACTTGCTCTATAAATTTAGGCCCAATAATTTCCTCTGGGAATAGCATACAGTTACGGTAGCCACAAAGGCCTCTGCCACTGCCAAATGTCATTGTGTGGTGGGGGAGGGGGCTCACCATCTCTTGAGCACCACGGAGTTAGAGGGATTACAGATATGGTGACTTGGGCCTGGTGAGATGGCTCAGCAGGTGAGAGCTTGTACTGCTCTTATAGAACATCTAAGTATAGTTGCCAACACCCATGTTTGGTGGCTCAACTGTAACTCCAATTTCCAGGGGCTCCAACACCCTCTTCTGGACTCATGGCACCTGTAGTCACGTGCGCATTCTCACATACAGACATGCATGCATATACATAATTAAATCTTTAAGGGCCGGGCGGATCTCTGTGAGTTCAAGGCCAGCCTGGTCTACAGAGAGAGTTCCAGGACAGCTGGGGCTACAGGGAGACCCTGTCTCAAAAAGACCAAAAAAAATCTTTAAAAAAGATGGTAAAATTGTTTTATATTATTATGTATTTTGTGTGTATATTTGACCTGAGGTATTTAAAATTCATGTTTGTTTTAATGTCAAGTTTTAAAGGTGTCTCTGAAACTAAGTGTAAAATACTTTTATGATGTAAGAAAGATGGTTACAAATCTTATAGGCACTTCATAAATAAATTTATTATTTTTAATTACGTGTATGAGTGTGGGGGTATGTGCACGTGAGTGCGAGGTCAGAGGCATCGAATGCCCTTGGAGCTGGAGTTACAGGTCATGAGCAGCCTGGCAGGTTGCTAGGAACAGAACCTGGGTCCTCTGCAAGAGCAGCATGAGCTCTTAACCCTGAGTCATCTCTCTAGCTCCCTGCACACTAAGATTTTTAGAGCTCGGTTATCTGTGAGGAAAACAATTGCTTTTATGTAAGTAAATAGTTGTGACATGTGTGTGCACACATGCTGCATGTGGAGGCCAGAGGTCAACATTGGGAATTCTTTAAGAGCCATCCATTTTTTTGAGTTAGGACTCACCTATTAGGCTAGGCTGGCTGGCCAGCAAGCCCTAGGAATTCTTCTGCCTCTGCCTCCCGAGCACGGTAAGAGTACAAGCATGCCATCGGGCCTGGCTTTTTATGTGGGTGCTGGGAATTCACTCCCAGCAACAGTAAATACAAGTCCCTCTTCCCACAATCTCACCAGCATGTGCTGTCATTTGATTTTTTGATATTCTGACTGAAATGAGATGGAATCTGGTGAAGATGCAGTTAAGTAACACCCATATTAGGTGCTTTATAAATGGAAATATTTTTTAGCTGTTGCTGTGGAAGAACTTGTTTTCTAAAAGACTGTAAAGGAAAGAGTTGGGCTGGAGAGAGAACCCAGCAATTAAGAGCACTTATGTTCTTGTAGAGCACCAGAGGTTAGTTATCAGCTCCTAGCACCCTTGTCCTGAAGCTCAGCCTCCTGCTACTCCAGCTCCAGGGGATCCAGTGTCCACTTCTGACTTCTGCAAGGTGCTTGCTGCATCATGTACGGGAGCATATACATAGACACATGCACACTCAGACACACACAAAATAAATCTTTTCTAAAAAGCTACAAGTTAGGGGGGAAAGTTATGGACTGGTTGTTGGTTTTTTTCATAGTTTTTTAATTCATTTTTCTGTTTACTGGAATTTTTCATTCATGATTCCCATTAAGATAAGTTTCTTGTATTTTAGATTTTTGCTGTCATGAATATAGGTAAATGGGCTTTATCTTTACCAGTTTCTTCTGTAGATTGAGGACTTTGAACTATAATCTATAGTCCAAATGTAATCTGTGTTACATTGTTGAAGTCTTGCAGAGAAATCTGGTTAAAGTGGAGTGAAATCCAGTTACCAGAATTGACAATTTTTGCTTATTTATTTTGGTCTTTTTGAGACAGGGTCTCCCTGTAGCCCCAGCTGGCCTCGAACTCACAATGTAGACCAGGCTGGTCTCCATCTCACAGAGATCCACCTGTCTCTGCCTCCTGAACGCTAAGGTTAAAGGCATGGACTACTACATTTGGCTATTTATTGTTTGTGGGTTTTTTTGTTTTTTGAGACAGGGTCTCCCTATAGCCCCAGCTGGCCTGGAACTCACTACATAGAGCAGGGTAGCTTTGATCTCACAGAGATCCACCTCCTTCTGCCTCCCAAGCACTGAGATTAAAGGCATGTGCCACCATGACTGAGTCAATAATTCTTTTAAGAATACTTTTTCTCTTAAATGTTAAGTTTAGTGTATTAGTTGAGTGTTGCTGAAGGATTTGTTTTTCTGTCCCTCTACTAAATTTAAGGCCAGCTTGGGCTACAATAGTAAGACGCTGTCTCAAAAGAAAAAAGTAGTGGGTTGCTCTAGAGTAACTTTGGTAATTTCTTTATTAAAAGAAGTGTTCTGAATTTCCTTAACTTGGCTCCTGGGCATTAACTGTTTTGGACAAAAGAAGGAAATCATTTGGAAGCCAGTAGGAAACTGGTAGATCCTTTGAACTCACAGAGAATGACAAGATAAGCACAGTGAGTTATTTTCTACAAACTGATTGTGGAAATAGCCATGTTTTTGCCTGACTAAACGAGAGTAACTGCTGCTGTGTGCCCACAGTAGCCTGCGGTACAAGAGGAGTAAGTGCAGCAGAGGAAGGTAAACTTCCCATTGGAGGACAAGGTGCACTTTTATACCCTCAGAGCATCTTCCGTTCTGTTAAATTATCCCAGTGCTTTCCTCATGTTTGTTTCCTGCTGTTTATAAAGGATAGTCTTTTTTTACTAGAGAAATACACACAAAAATAAACTGGATTTTTTTTTTTAATGTCGTACTCAAATTGTTTTCATTTTCTCAAATGCACCAAGAATGTTTTTAGCTGGAATAATTCACTGATACAGATTACTAAAAATGTCCTAAACAGGAGTTCATTAAACTTTGATGTCAAGAAGCCTTCAGGCAGGCAGTTCTGAGCCAATGCAGTAGCTCAGCCCAGGAAGTGGGCATCACCTCTTGATCTGATAGATGGCATTTAACCATGTGATCACAGGGTACTGTTTTTTTAATATTATTTTCATTTATGTGTATGAGTGTATGGCCTGCATGTATATAAGTGCACCTGTGGTGTGCAGTGCCCAAGGAGGTCAGAAGAGGGTGTTGGATCCCCTGAAACTAGAGTTACAGACAGTTGTTTGCTGCCATGTGGATGCTGGGAATAGAACCCGGGTCCTCTGTAAGAGCAGCCCATGCTCTTAGCCATCTCTCCAAGCCCCCACAGGGAACTGGTTTGATACTTAGATATTTTATCCATGTTTCGGACAAGGAAGAGCAGAGAATGTGCCAGCTTGCCGTGCTTGCCCTTTCTTCCTTCTGGTAGAAGGAGCGCCTTCTACAAGAGGCTTCTGTGAATGAGGCATCTTCTTACCTGGCTGTCTCACTTCAAGACAAGCTTAGAGGTGCAAGTGTTAACTACCTGTTGTAGAAAGAAGACAAAGTAGTGTTTTGTTTGGTGGGATATCCTGTAAATCAGAGAAACTTTGAGTTACAATTTTTGGTAAGCTATTTTTCAATCCTTTAAGGGATTTTTTGGTAGTGGTAGGAGTATGAACATGAAGTCCTACTGGTCCTTAATGCTGGTTCTCGAAACTATGAAGCCTCATCACTTGAACAGAGGAAATTATAAAAGCTTATAGATTATTTTCTATTTAAAGCTTTTGTTGGAAGGCAAAGTTCAGAAACCCATTGAGACTTAAACTTGCTTTCATAATCTTTAACGAAATGTAACGAGAATTGCACATTCTTTTCTTTTGGCATTCTGGGTTTCTGCAGCAAGAATGTGTATTTTAAGTTAATATCTACTTTGTTCATCTATTCACCTAGTACAACCTTTCTGCTGTAGGACAGAATTCTGGCTCTGTGACAGGCGTCTTTTCGACCCTCCTTCAAGAGCCCTGCTGCCTATAAAAGATAGGTAAGCCCTGCTCTCCCGTGGTGTTGTTTGGTTTTGGTTTTGGTTTTTGCCTTCCTTCAAAGTGTTTGTGCCATTCCTCTGATTCTACATGGAAAAGCCTCTTTGAATTTTTGAAAAACTACAAATCTTTTCTAAATTTAGATAGCATAGTGTAGTAATTAAAGCTGTCAGTTCTGTCTTGTTCCCTTTTAGTGCATTAGAAAAACCACTTTGATTTGTCTTCTTCCTACGATGGCAGGAAAGTTAACACTTGCATCTCAAGCTTGTCTTGAAGTGAGACAGTCAGGTAACGAAGGTCTGGTCAGTGCCTCGTATACAGAAGCCTCTGCTAAGATGGTTAATTGAATC